AGATGAGCTGGCAGAGTACGGCCTGGATAAATATGATGAAGAAGATGTAGGTGAGTCAGATGCTGAAGCAGTGCTTCTCTACATATTTCTTGTATTTATTCCTGCAGATTTTTACTAGTTATTTTTTATCTAAAGTTCCTCTCTCTTATTTTTTCTCTCTGGTGAAATCTAGTGACGGCCAATCTTGGAGACAGTCTGGCTGGACTTACTGTGTACAGCTGCAATGATCAGGATCCATACATCACCATCAAAGACACTGTGAGAGTGTTGATATTTTTGAAAATTATTTTGCTGACCTAATAAGGAAGAAAAATGATTGTTTTTTTTATCCCTTCTCCTCTTCAGGACCAGTATGAACGTGAAGATTTTCAGATCAAACCCAATGACAATTTGATCCTGTCGGGCAGAGCAGAGAAGGACTGCTGTAACTTAGAGATCTATGGTAAAGATACAGTACAGCGAAAATGCATGAATATGTCAGATATACATAGGATGGTGGTGAATATTTATCTGTTTTTTTACTCAGATTATTTATACTGTAGTGTTTATTATTTATTTTTTGAATGTAGTGTATTTGTTAATAATTTGAGATTGTAGAATTTTAATTCAAGTCAGATGAAAATATATCTTGACATGATTGCATAAAATCCTGGGATCTTTTACCCAAACACAAGACAAACTACTGAACTGTTGTTTTTATCTCTTGACAGTATATAACTCAGAAGAGGACTCAATGTACGTTCACCATGACATCCTGCTGCCGGCTTATCCACTGTGTGTGGAGTGGCTCAACTTTGACCCGAGCCCTGGAGATGGATTAGGTGAGAATTCATCTCTTGCTGCACAATTCACTCTGTTTTTGTACGGGATATCAAGGTGCTAGTGATTTTGTTTTTCCATCCAAATATGTCATGTGATGTTCTTGCAGGCAACTACGCCGCGGTGGGCAACATGACCCCTCAGATCGATGTATGGGACCTGGACGTGGTCGACTGTTTGGAGCCCGTCTTCTCTCTGGGCAGCAAAAAGGCTGCAAAGAAGAAGAAGAAGACCAAGAAGGTAGGACTTTTTCATGAATGTATTTATATATATATATATATATATATATTTATGCATACATACATACTGTATATATATATATATTTATATGCTATATATGAATGTATGTATGCATATATTTTTATGTATAAATATATGTGTCTAGGTATGTATGTAAATATGTATTTATATATTTGTATGCATATATACATGCATTATGTATGTATATAATTATATATTTAATGTCCCAAGAGATTCTACGGTATAGTATCTATCTAGTTATCTATACATATATATATACTGTATCTATACATATATAAATACATACATACATATAAATATATACAGAGCTAAAAAGGAGGAAGAGGTCAATTGGACGTATTTACAGACGTCCTGTCTCTGCATTACAGACAGACGTGAATTTCAGATTGAAGTCCCATAATATTTTTTATTATCATTAATATTCTCGGCCTGTTTTAAATTCCAGGCGGCAGCAGCGGAGCCTGTGGAAGGTCACACAGATGCTGTGCTGGATTTGTCCTGGAACAAACTGGCCCGGTCAGTGCTGCAGTGTTCCACCTAGGCACCATCACTAATAAAAATAAAGTTTTGTGTTTTTTTGTGCTAACTTTTATTACTGGTGACGTAGGAACGTGTTGGCCAGCGGGTCAGCGGATGAAACTGTGATCTTGTGGGATCTGTCTCAAGGCAAACCAGCCACCACACTGCGCAAACACACCGACAAGGTCTTTAATGAACAGGACAACAGCTACAGCTGATGTGTCTCAGTGTGACTGTTGATTCTCTGGACTGAGCTGCCTTCAGATTCCGCTTCAACAAACCTTTGTCTTCCAGGTCCAGACGTTATCATTCCACCCGTTTGAGGCGCAGACGCTCATATCAGGATCATATGACAAGTGAGCGTTTCTCACTCAGTTTATATTCCAATCAAGGTTTGGTTATTACTGATGATTTACACTGAGCTTTTCGTTCCTAGGACGGCGGTTCTGTACGACTGCCGCAGCCCAGAGAACAGCTACAGAACCTGGAGGTTCAGTGGTCAAGTGGAGCGACTGATTTGGAACCACTTCTCACCCTGTAACTTCCTGGTAGGAACTGGAACATTGCCGCTTTATATCCCTTCAAAATGATTGCCTGCAAATGCCAATGGAATTTAGAAATGTACAAACTGACGGTTTCTTTTCCACACACTGTGTCTTCAATGGAGGATGATTCACTGGTGTTAAAGCCACAAAATGTGTCACTGAGTGTCTCTGCTCTTTCGCATTCACCACTATAACATTGAGTGTGTTGTTTTTTTTCTCTCCAGGCCAGCACAGATGACGGCTTTGTTTACTGTTTGGATGCTCGCTCGGATAAACCTGTTTTCACACTGAGGGCGCACGATGAAGAAGTGTCCGGTGAGTCTTGACCTTCTTTGTTCAGTCAGTATAAAAAAAAAAACACAACATTCAATGCTTTTGACTTCTTTCTTTGTTCAGTCAGTATAAAAAAAAACAAAACACACAACATTCAATGCTTTTGACTTCCGTGCAGGTTTGGACCTCAGCAGTCAGATTAAAGGGTGTCTGGTGACGTCATCATCCGACAAACATGTTAAAATCTGGGACATCCTGGGCAACAAACCCAGTCTGGTGCACTCCAGGGACATGAAAATGGTAAAGACTTTGTCATGCAGGATTTTTGCCAAGATGAGACACCACACCACAGCTGTCGTTGACTAAAAATCTGATTAATCTTCATCACAAACTATCAGAACCAGAATCATAGATGATTTTCAAAATACCCCAAAAAACCAGTAGAAATAATCATTATAACAAGAATATACTGCAGCAGGTGTACATCTACGGTTTTAGTGGCTTTACTGTACGATAAGGTCTGAATGATTTCAAATCATTAACTTTTCATGGATTAATGTTGAAGCTGCTTTTTTGGTGAATGTTTTCTTTGAAGAAACATTTTTGTTGTCCATTGTTACTGATGTTTAATTTTTTTTTTTTTTTTACATTTTTAACTTTAGGGGGTGCTGTTCTGTGCGGCGTGTTGTCCTGATCTCCCCTTTGTCTACGCCTTTGGTGGACAGAAGGATGGCCTGAGGGTTTGGAACATTTCTGATGTGGCAGCAGGTAGAGTTGACATTTTGTTAATCTAATTTGTTGTACTTTTTTTAAAAATTATTATTTCTTAAAATTGTGTCTGTTTCCCCTCAGTGTCTGAAGTGTTTGGTAATCGTGAGCGCTTGGTGGTAAACACAGGGTCACAGGCCAACAGCAGCACAGCCGCAGAGATGGACGTCTCGTCATGACGACTGCACCGCATCTACAAAACCAGCAAACTAAAAAAAAAGACTTTTCCAGAAAATCCAACAGACTGATCCTCGTCTTCTGATGCTGCCATTTTCACTCTCATCTCCAGTGAATTCTTGATGTTAAAATGATAACCTCAGTTTCTCATAATAAGTAAAAGCAGAAGTTTTGCACGCCATGTGTTGGTATAAGGTAAAACCAAAAACATCCTACATTCGACATTTTGAGTATCTGCAGCCCAATCTTTTTATGTTTTAAGGGGAAACATTATTTCAAATGTTGACTGTTGCCTTTCTTTGTACAACTGTACAAATAAAATATTCTAGGAATATTTTCATATGTAAAGGAGAAATTATTTATCTCTTTAAAAAGGTATCAAATGTTAGTAAAAGCTGTTGTAATAAAAGCCTGCAATAAAAATAGTCCTCACATCCTCAATACATACAGTTTGTATTTACACAAAAAAAATCTTTCTCCCCATCATACATAAAAATGGTTTAACTTAAGGCCAGATTAATTAATTATTGTTTTAAAATAAAATACACCTTTATTAGTGTTGTAGTACATGCACATTTTGTGTTGAAAAACAGCACTGAAGAACACCAATCTAAATCAGAAATACTTTACTAATCCCCAAGGGGATATTTTCATAAAAACAGTTTTATCCAAGCAGTGTAAATTAGAAACTACTATGTTAATTCACAATATATTATTACATTTGACTTTAATTAGAAGGTAATTGTGGTGCGTTTCTTTTAAAGCCATAACATTTTTTGTGTACGTGTCAAAAATAATACGCTAGGTTTCTCCATGGAAACTGGAACTGATGTACTTGACTAAAATAATACGCTAGGTTTCTCCATGGAGGAACTGATGTACTTGACAACCAACGTGCACCCGGACTGAATTCTGTGACGGACTCCGAAAAAAAATAATATGAGCATGGCGTCGCGTAATTTGTGCAAACTACACAGTCTGTTAGTGCGGGTTTCCAACTGTAGTACACTGCGACACACACAAAGTAAGACTTTTTACTGTTGGGAAATATGTACGATTAATAATTTGATCGAGCCTTTGTAACGGATACTGTAATAAGTGGTAGCCGTAAGTGCTAACAGGGGCTAACCTTGAGAAAACGTTCAGTAGGTTAACTGCATTGAATTGTTTTATCTGACATATTCACTGTCAAAACTATCAGTTCTAGGTTAGACTGTAAAGAATAATACCGTACTTACTGCTATTTTTTTTAAACCGGTGTCGATGTATATTTGTCCTAATTATATTGATGTTGTATTTTCACTTAAAAGTTGTAAACGTTTTAAACATTTGTTTAAAGGTTGTATAATTCATGTGCCTTTTTGTGCCGTTTTGCAGCATGTTTGTTGCCAGTTCGACAAAAGTCCACTGACAGCGCTCCAAACAGGTATTTACATTCTGTTGAATTTAAACAACTAATGCTTAAGTGTTATATGTCATGGACTTTTTAAAACTTTTTTTTCAACTGCTGTTGAATGAAATAAGCTGTTAAAGTATCCAACCAGCATATTGTTTTTAACCCCCTCTATATTTTCGCATAATATCATTGCAAATGCAATGCAACATGAGTTGGTCCCTTACAAGACATCGGTCTTCACAGTGGAGATCACCTCAAGTCTGCAGTGTAGACAGAGTGTTCTTAGTGGCAGCCACATGTAATTAAACAATTATACAAATTAAAGTAAAAAAAAAGATAGTGAGAGCTTAATTGTAGCCAGATGTTAATCACCTTTTTATGTTTTCTATTTTCAAACAGCGAGAACTAAAGCACTGATGTAAGTGTTAATGTGATGATAATAACCCTATCATCTTTTGGTTCAGTAATGTAGACATTGGTGTGACGTCAGATGCGAAAACTATAGTGTGCTACCATCCTGCTGCTGACATTCCTTATGAATTTACACAGGTAAGAGATTATTTAAAATACTATTTATTTATTTGTTTGTTTCCTGTAGTACACAAGGTTAGGACCTTTAAAATCCACCATGGAACTGTAATAGTAGTAGTAACAATAATAATAATTACCCACTGAACCATGCAGTACCTTTGTTTAATTTGATATTTATAGTTTTGAAATCTCTTCAACAGTGTAAATAAAACATTATTTTAGCTCTTTTTTTTAAGATAATTGAGCGACAATTGTTTAATGACACTAAACCTCTTTAGCCCATAGAACGACCAGACCCTGTGTCCAACACAATTGAGACCCATGACCAGGTTTTAAAAGCCCATCTCAGCAAGGAGATGGTCCCGGACCAAAAGGGCCCCAGCAGAGAAGAGTTGAGCAAAATGTTCTACACCACCAAGCATCGCTGGTATCCGGTTGGACAGTGAGTACACAGATATGTTCATATCTGTTGTTAGAATGCCCAGCTCCGCAGTACAGGGAGTGGGCTTAAAACCTGAGCGTGTGTGACAGCATTAGTACAGGAAATCACATTTACAAAACATTCAACACCTAGTATAGAGAATTTAAAAGATTACAAATCCATGTTTTATTATATTATAATGAAGCAGATATAAAGGGATGGAAAGAAGTACATTGTGTTTACACTGCACTTGTTACATTTACTATTTTTTTTTCCATTCACAGGTACCACATGAGACGCATGAATAAGAAAACACCAAAGAAGTGACGTCTGAATAATGAAACTGCTAATGTTTGTGTTAGTGTCGTAATAATTTACAATAAACCATTTAATAAGGAATTGTTATGAGTATGTGTGTTATTGTAAATATAGCTATTAGTTAAATCTAATAATGTTCACATCAAGGCAATAGATTTTTCAGATTGTAATAATGTAATGGTTTGGTTTAGCATGCATTTAATTTTGATTAAATCCAGGTTTTTATGTATTATGTCTTTATCTTTTAAACAGTACACAGTATAGTTGTTTGGTTTTATAGATTTGTAAACGTGTGATTTTCCTGCCACGGAAACAAAGGCAACATCTTTGTGGTACAAACATATAGCAAACAAGACAATCAGTACAGGTGATGAAAAAACATTAAGCTTAATGCTAAGTTTTACTTGGCACAAAAATATGAGAAATAAGTATTTGTATTCTCAATCATAGTAACAAAAGAAAAAGATGTCCTGCCAAGCCTGGAAAAACTCAAAACGAAAAGTACTGCTAATGAGTACAGATACCAAAAGAAGAATATGTGGCTAGTTGGGACAAATTAAAACTAATTTTGCCATTTAAATATTTATAACGTTTTAAGAAAGAATTGAGAGGCATCGACTCAAAGAACACGTCCCCAAATAGTATTAATGCGGGGAGTTGCTTAAGTGTATCTAATGGTATAGGTATATATATTTTCTTAAACGTAATATCACTAAAAAGATCCGGGATCACTGAAGTATTTCAGATTCTGATCAAAATTTCTAAATTTTAAAAACATAAAATGTGAAGCCACTACACACAAAGACAATAATGATTATGTAAAATATTTATTTATGTATTAACATAAAGTATATGCAACAAGAGAACTCTATTGTATTAATATTTTTTACATGACCATCATCATAATCTTTAGCAGCATTGCTGCGTTATGAGCAGCCACCGTTAGAGTGAGTGGAGTGTCTCCGCCCCGACAGCTTCACTCGGTCCAGCCTGAAGAGAAGGAGAGTCCACTGCTAAAAATATCAGTGCTAACACAAGATGGCCGGTTTGCCTCGTAGGATTATAAAGGTACAGTACATTTGCTGGCTACTGTATTTATATGTTTGTGTGTTACTGAGTTGCGTGCTTGTATTTGACACCTATGGGAAAATGGAGGAAGAGTTAATGCTGTGTTAGCATATAGCCTGACGTTAGCACAGTTAGCGCTGTTGTACCTATCAAGCTAGTGTAACGTTTGCCACCTCTGGACACGGTGTTCTATTGAGTCTGTGGGTGTCATTTTGAACAAATTTACTTCTTTTGTAATTTTATTTTACCCAAAACTTATAATTTGCGGGTCAGATTAGGTAATGGTGACAAATAGTATAGATCGTCATATGAATGGATTGGCTAACTAAGGCTAAGCTAGCTGCTCTAGCTTTAAGTGACACATGTCTGGCGTTGATGTGAAACGTTGTCCTTGTGCTTCTAAATGGTTTTATTACTGATAACAGGGGTACGACAGTGCGTTTTATATCTTAGCCGCACATGTGACGTATTTTTTAAACCAAATCGTTAGGCCTGCGGTGCTGCGGTCTCCTCCCTGCACCTCACGGCGGCTTCTCCTCAGTCACTGCTCCAGGCCTCGCAGTGGGCGCGATCATCCTGACTCCGCCACATCGAGCAGCGATTTCTTTATGCTTTCGCTGGGTTTTTACTGCCAGGAATTAAACGCTGACATGGTAAAAGCACGACCCGGCTTCTTTCATTAAAACAACCTGCAATTTGTCGAATCACCACAAAGGAGTCATTGTTTTTACAGCGACGTTTAGTTTCCTTCCTGTTGACTGCAGATGTTTCTGTGCACCTGCTTTATGAAACCACCATAAAATAATGTTCCACTTCCTTCATATACTTTCGATGTCATTCAGTGTCACACTTTCACAATTAGTCAGGTATTCGAAAGACACAATTAACACAAAGCATTTATTTGAACTAGCAACATTGATATATTCCGTAAAATTATATCCCCTTGTGCCTAAAAGTGACTTTTTATGAGACACTACAAATGTGTGTAATGCCAGCAGATGGCTTCACATCAGGAACATGGTTTGCATATTTCCAGTTATCTGATGGCTGATTGGCTGACAAGACTTGGTTTTATTTTTGGGCTGTATTTGCCTTTTAAATGAGAGTGAAGGCACATTTGTAGTATACGAGAGAGAAACAGAAATCACAATATTGTGACACAGGGTAAATACAGTGATGAGGCAGGGGTACCCAACCCCCGGTCCGGGGACCAGTACTGGTTCTCAGGTCATTTGATACCGGGTCCCAGTGGGACAGTAAAAAAATGTACTTCAGTTTTACAAATTTACTTAATTCAGAAAGAATCCAGTCATAGCCCTTTATTTTTGCATTTAAAGATAATTTGGCAATGTTTCAAAACACTAGGTCATTCAGATCAGATACAACCTAGAAGAATGGATTGGAATAGTACATGTACAATTGGATGACACCATTTTGTGTGTTTGCATGTGGAATACACTATAGAAATAAAAAATACTTGATAGGAAAAATTACCATCTCCCCCTCTCACTGTTTATCTGAAAAACTTCAGAGTTGCAGTTTTGTTCCATTAAGATATAAACTGCAGTCTAGACCAGGGGCAAAGGTGGCAGAAAATTTAATTTAGGTGGTGCCTTGCAGAAAAGTGTTGTTGTAGGACTGGAGCGAAATGATATAAATGTTATTGTTCTGCTCTGCAGAACACAAAATTCCCCCTTGTGACCAGCCTTGTTGTCTCAGACATCTCAGAGCTGCAACAATCAGTTGATCAATTGTTGATTATACATTACAAAATTATAAGACGTCTAGATTTTGACGCAGCACTGATCCTGCTGAGAGATATTTTTAAATTATTATTAGATTGAATCAATCTCATCTGTATTGGTTTCAGACATTTAAAAACATTTGAGGGTTTTGTAATGTTATTCTTGAAAACATAAATGTCAAAATGTTCTTTTGGACATTAACACATGTCCTTACCCCCTGACATTATCTCCACACTGCTCCACCTTAGCTCCCTCTGACCTGGTCATTTCTAAACCTGTCCATCCTGGTCACCTCCAGTGAAGATTTTCATCCACTCCAACTCCGACTTAGCTTTTGGTCTGTTAGACAGAACTGAACTTCACACCATAGCAGGTCTCACTACTGTATTATAAACCATTCACTTTCACCTTTACTTCCTACTACTTTTATCTTTAACTTTCAATTTGCGGATGAAACTGAGTTTACCCTACAGTTCTTCATAATAACCACATAATGACGTTAAGGGCAGTGGTTACCAACCCTGACATGACAAATTTCTGGCACCCTCAGAGACATTTTAGTCACTGTCACTTGTGTAGTCGCCTGTTCACAGCCGTCAATCAAGATGGGCCAGTTTAGATATTTTTATACGCTGCATTTTATGGAATTCAATTTATATTCATGAAAGTGAAAGAATGCAGTTATTTATGATTGTGTGTGGTGTTTTAAGCATAATTCTAAAAAGAATAACGTAAAAAATTGGTTTATCAGTAATTTTTTTATCAGTTACTTGATATTTCGGGCGACCCTATTTGAATTCCAGGTGACCTCAGATGGGATTGTGACCCCAACAGATTTAGGGTCTTTAAAATAAGAAAAGTGTGTAAGTAGAACAGGTTTTGAACATGTCAGTCGTTCTAATGACCATTTTCTTCTTTTCTAATGTTTCTTTTTCCGGCTCCGTTCAGGAGACGCAGCGGTTGATGGCGGAGCCTGTCCCCGGCATCACTGCTACGCCCGACGAAGGGAATGCACGCTACTTCCACGTGGTCATCGCGGGGCCTCAAGACTCCCCCTTTGAGGGAGGAACATTTAAACTTGAACTATTTCTTCCAGAAGAGTATCCCATGGCAGCTCCCAAAGTGCGATTCATGACCAAAATCTACCACCCCAATGTTGACAAACTGGGAAGAATATGTTTAGACATTTTGAAAGGTAAGCAAAAAAACCCCACAAGGCTGAAGCATCCTGACGCTGTGTTGTTCCTTCTCTCAGTGCCACCAAAGAAACAAATGGTTATTTGTAGCAAGTAGCATCTGATGAACTACTGCTTAATATGAGAAAATGGTGGGAAGTTCAAAAAAAGTTTACTCCCAGTAGTTTCCTCTGACCTGTCAACCCTTCCAAATTACGGGTCATTAGCTTTAACGTCTTGACGGTGTCTGTTTCAAAGTTGTACATTTTAATCACCCCCAAAATGTTTCCAATATTTGGATCATAAGATGATGATGTAATGACTGTGATTCTCAGCTCAGATCCACAGATTTATCACCAGTGTAGTGTCTGAGCAGCAATTATGTTGTCAACATACGGGATGGATGAAAAGCAGGCAGTTGTAGACACATCGTTTTGAGAGCGAACGCTCCGGCGGCGGATGAGAGTCACAGAGCGTAAATCACCTTTGAGCTTAATAATCCTTAATGTTGGTTTGGCAGGAGCGGCGAAGACAGAAACTTTTGCAGCAGACTGTAATTTTATGAGCAAGCTGTTGCAGTTTTACAGTGTTGGGAGCCTGGGTTGTTTTCCAGGATCATATTAGAACTAGATCTCAGCATAGTTACAGTCGGACTCCTGCTCACCATCCCACGTCACTGGGACCACTCCTCATAAAAATGATCGGCGCCGTGGACCAGAGATTTGACCTAATTTCCCATATTTTATCCACTAATGTTTTTTTTTGTTTTTTTTTTACATTTCTGCCTCTCTTTAGAAAAGTGGTCTCCAGCCCTGCAGATCCGTACAGTGTTGCTATCCATCCAGGCGTTATTAAGTGCTCCCAATCCCGATGACCCCCTGGCAAACGATGTCGCAGAGCAGTGGAAGAAAAACGAAAGCCATGCCATTGAGACAGGTAACGACCCGGCCCCCGGCGGGGGACACACTGTGACAGATGGCAGCAGTCATTAGCTCAGTCTCCTCTGTTTGATGTGGTGCCTGTGTCACACTGTATGCTGCTGTCGCAGGTTGTTTTTTATTATGGATTGACTGTAAGTTGTTAAGAGAGGGAAAGAAAAACAGCCTTGGCCTCTGTGTCTCAGGCTGAGTCGGTGCAGAAATCCTACTGCAAATACAGACAGATGGGACTGTTAGCAATAAAAGTTGGGCAGGTCCGAAGTTTTTATTTTGATTGTCTTTACATCATTACAGTTACCCTTGTTTTATAACAACCATTCTTCTCGTTGCATTCTCTTCATTACATAGAATCCCGTCTTTCTGCCACTCCTGTGGTAACTTCTAACTGGAGTACAGAAATGTAGTTTGGCTGGTCGATCAACTTGTATTCAGAAGGAATTTACAGATCAAAAATATACTGCATATCACCCGAGGGCCACAAGAGGGCACCCATTTGCCATTTGTTGCTACAGATTATAGAGACTTATTTAAAGACATACAAATAACAATAACTTCCACAAAGACTTCCATTAAGACCACAGATAAAATGCGAACATAAGGAAGAAAATGCTACTTTATAAAGTATGGAGTCACAGAAAAGAAACTCTCTAGTCAGACAAACATACACAAAAGTGGACATGATCCTGATAGTGAGTCGGCTTAATTGCAAATAGAAAGACACATGGCGAGTTAGGTAAAAACTTCTGTTGTTTTTGTTTAATGACTGCTTAAAAACTCGTTTTCTTTTTCTCCCCCCTGCAGCCCGAACATGGACCAGGCTCTATGCCAGCAACACTGAAGTATAGAAGAAAAGAGACGAGGCGTCTGAATGTGATCAACAAAATGTACTTTTATTCGGTTTCAATTTAAACACACACACACACACTCATAAACAAAAGAGAAAAAGAAAAAAAAGCTAAGATTATAGTCCAAATATATTTGACAGAAATGATGAGATTCACTGCTGCAGACCTCTGGGTGACTTATTACTTTCCTCTCCTTAAATGTGTGTCAGTCTTTTTTTGTTGTCGTTTCTTTTCTGTGTTGCTATTTAAATGCATGGACAGAGGATGGCACTCTCCCCCAATCTCAGTCTTCACACACACACATCATGCAGTGTATAGTCCTGCAGTCGACACCAACTGGTACGTTTGGGAAGAGATGCATTAAAAGCTCCTTCGCCCCTTTTTTTTTTAACTTGTGCATCTTCGGACATCGTGATGTCATTTCAACACACACACACACACACTCTCACACACACACTCTGTCCAGCTGCCAGCCACAATCACAAACACTAGTAATGAGCAGATTAAATCATATGAACACCAAAAAGTTTCCCCTTTTTTTTCTCCTGTTGGGGGAGTTTTTAACGACTTGAACTTCATTCGATGAACACAAACACAAATGTCAAGTGTTCATCAACTGTAACCTGGCTGCAAATGTAGTGGGGAAAAAAATCATAAAACCATAATTAAAATTTTAAATAACGAGATTCAAAAAGGCCTTTAATTGAGTATAAACCCGATGTAATTAATCTGCTGCAGTATTTAAAACAACACATTTGACAGCATGAAGTCTGACTTTAGGATCCATCTGTCGCCCCAAATAGAAAGACATTGAACGAGAATTCCATCTCATCAATGATTCAATTTTAATGCAGTGAAACCCCAACGCTCTGGATAGAACGTTTACTTCATGCCGACGCCCCCCTCCCCTCACCTCCTCTAATTTACAGTCGGACAGGGAAGGTTGAGCGAGTCGCTTCCTGTAAAAAAAAAGGAAAAAAAAAGACAGATTTCCAGCACATTGAGAAAAGTAGCAGATTATTAAGATGTGCTGGAAATGTTATTTTTTTCCCCCTTTATTCTTTTTAAATGTCCTGTCCTCCTTTTTGTTGCATGTTCCGTCTTTCATTTAAGAAAAAAAAACCTCAGCATGTTCTATAACGAAACACATGCCAAGATTGAGTTTTATTTTTAGGGCTTTTTTTCTGTCTGTAAAATGTTTTGTGAGGAGATGAATTGAACCCAGCAGGCCGACAACATTACAAACAAAGAGAACTCCACTCCACTCTGTGCTGTTGCTGGTTTTCTTCTGGCTAAAAAAAAAAAAAAAAAACCTCAGCTGCATCAGATTTTCATTTAAAAAGTTTTCTTAAAAACAACAAAAAAAAAAATCCCTGAAAGTTTCCACCTTAAAACATACTGTACTGATGGGTTTCCTGGGGATCAGTAATGTAGAGTGTTCACACATTTTCTTTTGAGGAGTGTTAACAGTAAGTCGTAGTTGAACTATTTCTGTTTTTGTTGAGCTTTTCTCCTCCCTCTGCTTCTTATTGAAAGTACTGCAGGCTTGGTGTTGCCTAGATTTACCCCCTCCCCTCCCCAAGAACCCCCATTTGTGTCCCATCCTCGATCATAAAGTATTAACTGTTAGCTCTAACCGCCGCCACCACCGCAATCACTCGAGTCTGTGTAAAGATGGAGCACGTTGGCGTTAATTTATTGTTTCACTAAAGGAACTGGTGATGGAGGAATAAAACAGGAAGCAGTCACTCACTGGAATTTTTGAAGCATCTAGATCAAAAGCGGAAAAAGATGAATGAAGAGATCAAACTCTTTATTATTATTATTATTATTATTATTAATGAATCATCTCCCCATGTGTAAAGGAAGAGTTCTGTCCGTAACTTCAGTACATTTGCATACATGGCTCTTCAAGATTACTCTGTAAATAAACTGAGTTGAGTTAAGTACGCACAGGCTGGGCTGCTTTCTGTTGTGTGCACATTCAGTTGTTCAATTCGGGAGTAAATAGAATGTCACAAGTTCACTTAAATACAAAATGTCACGACACTAGCTAAGCGAACAAATTTAGCTGTAACAAAACAGCCAAGTTAGGTTAAATGTACCAAAATGTTAACCAACGTTAAATAAACGGTAAACAAACGGACCACAATCTGAACGTGTGTTAATTGGAATCAGATTCTTCCGCCGTCCTACCACGAGGGGGAGCCCACGTACCACAAGTGGTTAGCATACGATGAATCCGAACAAGTTATAAAAATAAAACTCTCAACCTTTTAATCTGTAATGGATCTCCCTGTGTTCTCTACGTTAGTTGGGCTTTCATATAATAATAACAATAATAATAATAAACTATAACTACTATCCTGGCCGTGTACAGAGGCGTTTGGCAAAAAGGCAATTATTTCATTTCCGCCCAATGACCGAGCTTCAGTGAACGTCACAGAGCTCTCAATCCTAAAAGTTTGAGTCACGTGACCTAGAGAGCGTTTAACACAAGTGACACGGAGTGGAAAACGTCACTCTTAAAGAAAACCTTGCCGCCCTTGATGCTACCGCAGCTGGTAGCAACGAATGAAATGAAAAGTTACAACATTTTTATGACATTTGGAAGTCAAATATTCAGATGTACTATTACAGTGAACGCAGCCGCGGGAAAATTGTTTGGAATAAGTGAGAGAACCAGGAAGCTCGAGCAAAGGAGACGAGAGGAAAGAGGTTAAAAAAGACTCGTGAGGGGAAACAAGCAGTTTTGAAGAGGCAGCAAGAAGAAACTTTCCAAGGAAAAAACGAACCCATGAAGACCTATGGACTGAACGGTGCTAAGGTGAGCATCAATACGGACATGGACATAAACAAGGTGCTGGGCATCGCTGATGGTGTTTACTGCAAACCTACTTGCCTAAAAATAACAAAACAAACCTTACATATATCACTGGTTACTGATTCGTTTGACACAAGTGAAGTCCTTAAAGTTTCCCCAAGAGAACACGTTATTCTGAAAGCACTTTAAAATACTTAGAGTGAGCAGCGAGAGTAGAGTAAACTTTCATTTGTTTCTAATTTATTTGTTTATATGAGATGACCCAAGGTGTTTCTATAGGTAAAATAACCTGTTACTTTTCCTGTAGTTTCTAAATAGTTCCACTAGATGGCAGTGTATTAAAATGAAACGAAAGCAGATGGCGCTAATTAAGGTCTAAATGCTCCTGAAACGTTTTTTTTTTCTCTTTCTCCCTCTCGCTCTTTTTGAGTTTTATTTAAAAAATACTATAAATAAGCATGAACTCGTAACCTGATGAAAATGACATTTTCCTTCCATACACTTCTCCCGTTCTCACGACCGGTTTTGATCATTCCAGGCGATTGTCCTTCCTGCAGGAGGAATGTGCCGTTACCTGGAGATCCCATCTATGGTCCATACAGCTGCTCTACACAAACAGAAGTTTCACAAGATTTTACGATAATGACTGGGGTTTTATGGCAGGGGTGAGTCACCCAGACTGGTATGCATTTATTCTTTGAGCGGAATTGCAGGAAACGATTCCCTCTCTGGCTATCTGAAATATCTGACAAAACATTAACCAGGGGAAGAAGGGAGAAGTGTTCATCTCCACAAAGATTAAAAATAAAACTGGTATTTACTGCCTCCAGCCAGTGGGTAAAAATGCTCCCATATTAGAGAAATTGATCATGAAACTTATGACGTTTTACACCATATTTATCACAACTTTTTATATGATATTCCATGTTCTTAGCCTTGAACCAGAATATATTATACAGTGTGTTTGACAATAGGTGCTGTAGTCATTTAAACCAGGAGGACAGATCCTGATCACATGACCTCGCACAATGAGGAAGTAGAATGTAAATATGAGACGGATGTAATTTAACTCTGGAACTCTGGAGAGAGGAGCGCGTCACGTGTGCCCTGCAAACAGGAATTTAGAAAATATTGAGGCAAAGTTCTAGAATGATCCTGAAAGATGTGAATGTGTTTTCATTGTACTCGTGTTGATAACATCAAATTGCTAGAAAATTGTCACAAGATAGCACAATGCTATCATTTCTTAGGGCTAATTTCTACATTTCTCATTGTCTTTTGTCTTTTGCTACTTCTATGTAGCTTGTGGTGATTTTTAATAATATGGTTTGACCTGTGACCTGGCTTAAAATTGACTATTTCCTGGTTTCTTTTGGGCTTTTTGTCTTAAAACCATGCAGTTACTTTTTGTGGCTACATTTTAAGCTACTACTCTAATCGAGCGACACCTTTGATTGACATGTAATTAACGGACAAACACTTATGATAAAACTCGATGTTGAAGCTAAGGAAGCAGCTACTAGTTTAGGTCTAAGGGCCCGTTTTGCTCAAAGTCTAAGTTTATTTGAGATTAGAAGCTGGGACAGAAAAAGACGTAGCTCAGCTAGAAGTGTATGAATGAATGGCAACAACTAAAACATGAACAGATGTAGAGAAGATTCAGCTGTTATTTACAAGCTCGGCAGAAAATGTGCAGGATCTGAGGAGCTTCCAGAGAACTGCTGTGGTCGGAATGGGAGGATTTCCCTTGGCTGGTTGACTTTTGTTCCTGCGCCTGGCAGATTAATGCGCATGGTTTCATAACATCAAGAGGGCACAGACCACAGGCTTTGACTGCAGTGGCCTGTTCAACTCACCTCTGCAGCGAGATAGAGAGGAGAGGAGGAGGAGGAGGAGGAAGAGATGGATAGATATATAAACACATCAACATGCAAAAACATCACCTCTCTCTCTTAGGTAACCAGCAATTTCAACACACTGTCCGTCCAGGAAAAAGAAAACCCAGCTCCCTCTTAAAAAAAAACCTCTGGCCAACGCTGGTCTCGGGTTCTAAATAAGTGCTGATGCTGACGAGATGCCGCGGCCAAAGAGAGGACGTTTGTCATCGCCTGTCAGCTCAACATCAGCAGCATGTGACAAGAGTGTTTTCACCTGCGAGTCAGCAACCAGAGGGAGAGATGATCTGCCCCGTCACAGGAGCAGGGCTATGTTTAGGAGGGTAGATCTCTTCCTGGGGTCTGTGCTGTTCTTCTCCCTGCTGGGGGCTCTGTATTGTCGGCTGTGTGTGTGTGTGTGTCATCCTTCGTAAATTACACTTTGGTAAAGACTAGAAGAAGCAGTCATGATTAGGACAGATGAGTATTTTTAAACATAGTCCAGCATAGTCACTGTCAGAGTAACAGTAGCAGTGACGACCTCATCGGTTCAACTGGGGGGAGATTTTACCAGGAACCTAAATGTAAGAGCTCCTTAACACATGGGGTTAAAGGTCAATGTTGCTGGTAAATACATAAATTCAAATATATACATATAAGCTCATATATATGTATATATGTGTGTATGTGTAAATATAGATATATACAGTATATATATGCACACACACATATATATACATATATAATTATGTGTATATATTTATATATATCAGATATATTGCACACAAAATGTATATACTGGAAATGTTTATATATATAGATGTAAATAAAATATAATATATAATTAATATGTTATTAATATAATAAATATGTGTAAATATATTTATATATTTACACACACATAAAATGTATATACTGGAAAACTAAATAGTTTTGGAGATACTTTTTTGTGGGGACTTTTTGCAGGTGCTTGTTGAATGAGAGGGTGTTTTAAAGTTAAGGATTTAGTCAGATCTGAGTCGGGTGAAGGACTAAGATTAGTCATTTATCTGTAATAGTAAAGATGAGAGGAGACTTCATGTCTGTGTAAAGAGCTCACAAAACAAAATCCTGTGAGTGTGTGTGTGTGTGCGTGCGCAGGATTCCTCTTCATGCTCCTGTGAGTTCCATCCATGGTGAGAACAGACTGTCCTGGACCATCTTTCCATACTCTGCATGTACTGTGTATATGTTGCTGCTGCAGATATGGGGGCAAGGACTCTGTGCGTGTGTGTGTGTCAGTGTGTTTTTGCAAAAGTTTCCATGCACACCTTTATGTTTGCAGAGGCCCCTGTGGCCTACATGTGGGAGATCAATGCATTTCCATGTCACGTAAAACATCCAAGAGATGTGAGGGCAGTGTTATCACCTTGTTTTTAGTCTTTATTTTTAGACCCGTATAACTTTACAGCCCGAATTGTAAAAAGATGTTGCACTTTAACTGAGAGTAAACCCACAAGATCACTCCTCCCTCATTCCTCACCCCTTTTTACTCCTCCGTGCCAACACAAACAGTCAGAAATCAGCCCGGACTTGTTCACTGTCCTGTCTCTTCGCCTCGTTCTCCCGGTGATTGTCAGGATGGCACACGCCTGCCTCGATGGGCACGCAAACAAATAAAATGTGAACGTATGTGTGGAGGGGATTTAATGACCACACAAGTGTCTGTTTTGATCATCAATCCCTTCTGTCGCCTCGAAAAAAACCTCTCCCTGTGTTATGTGTTTGATAAATAACCCGGACCATTTACTGCGGTTTGGCGCCACAGTTAATAAGGCAGGCAAATCAAGTCTGATATCTATTCACATTGTTTTGTTTGGCTCTGTGTCCACTGGCTGGAAATAAGTTTAGTGATCTGGTCTCACATACACACATTGTACATACTAATATAAAGTTTGAAATGTATATATACATACAGTATATGTCTCTCTTTATATATGTAAATATATATACTCTGAGTGTGTTCTAAGAATATTGAAATGTTTTTATATAAACAAAGTAAGTAATGAAATAAGCTAAAAGGTAAACATGCCTTTAAATGGTGTAAATGGGATATTGTTAGCCATAATGTAGCAAAAATGACTGATTTTTTAATTTGAAAGAAATTAGCAAAAAATGATCTAAGACTGTGAAGTTGATTTTTGCTTGAAATAGTTTTAAAGTAGCTAAAGAAATTAGTCAAATATGGAATTGAAATTGTAAACAAAAACTTAAAGTCACGCAAAAGTTTTAATATCAAATCGAACATTGGCTCAGGTTAGCCTACAAGCAGCTAGCAAACAAAAAACCCTGATGTAAAAAAATCACTAATGAAAGGCAAATATTGTCCAAAAAAAATTCCTAATTTAAATTGGAGAAAAACTATACCAAAAAGTAGATGAGCGTAGGATGAGTGATTAAAAAGCTAACGTTAGTCCAGAGTTATGTAACCTAGCAAAACAGTTAGCATTATAGATGTTAAAAACTAGCCTACAATATTATACAAATTATCTCATTCAGTGTGTAATGGATAGTTATCTGTAGAATAGTCAGAAGCTAGCCCGGGACGTTAACCTAGCATTCCACAAATATACACAACTGAAAACCAACCAAGAGGTTGTGCTAATAGTTAGGTCAGGACATCCTATGTGTGTCAGATTGATAAAAAACAACCCTGGAAATGATCCAGAATACTATCAGGGACACCGGTCGTCTTTATCGCCTGCTTTAACGTAAATAATTAACTTCCTGTCCCCATTCATTTGGTCTCTCTGGGGCCTGAACAGGTTACTGTGAATCATGCTGCCAATCAATCACCAGTCAAACAGTTGGCTGATGATGAAGCCGCGGTTCTGAGGGTTCAGTGATATGGTCTCTGTTTCACCGAGTTGTTCGTTAGTGGATTTGTGAAGCCA